GCCACAAAGCCTGCCAAGTTTCAAGGAGATAGGTGCAGGGTTTTGAGGGAAACTGCACCTCAAACTGCTCACAAGCAAAACTCATGACATGGGTGACACTGTGTATTAAGGTGCAGCAGGGTGAAAGCTTCAGAAGAAGCTAGCCCCTGTGAGGCCACAAAGCCTGCCACCTGTCAAGGAGATGGGTGTAGAGGCCCTGCACCTCCAGCTGCTGATAGGCAAAACTCATGTCATGGGTGATTGTGCAAGTGACTGTCTCTGTCTTGGGTCAGAAGCAGTTCTGGGCTCTGTATTGATTCTTTCCTCTCCTTAGTCTGTGGTTTTTCTAGGTGTTAATTCTTGCTCGTTAACTCATTATCTAGTAGCTAGCAACTGTGTATTGAGTTGGTCCCTGAGTGAATCATGATTGATTGGTAACACAGTAGCATAGCAGCCAGGCCTGCAGGAGTTCCTCCTCCACCTACCCCCCCCCCCCCCCACACACCCACATACCAACACCCCCCCATGACACGAGTTTTGCCTGTCAGCAGCTAGCAGTGCAGGGCCCCAGAACCCCTGCACCTATCTCCTTAACAGCTGGCAGGCTTCGTGGCCTCAGCAGGGGCTAGCAGGCCTGCAGCTTTCACCCTGCTGCACCTTAACACACACAGTGTCACCCAGAAACTGCTGTACCTATCACCGTGAAATGTGGCATGTGTCACACTCTCAGCAGAGGCTACCATCTCTGCAAGTTTAATCTGAAATCAGCCAAAAGACAACAAAGTTAGATATTTCATTGATTCCCCATTATACCCTATGGCCGAATCGTTTCCAAATTGACTCGGAAAGCCTAAAGCTTCCGGCGATTCGATTCAGATTTGGCCTCCAAATCATCCGAATCTTCTCCGAATCCAAAGCTTTTTACAGCCCTACCGTTCAGTCTATGGCTTAAGCTCCAAAGCGGTGCTGAATCTTTCGGATCTGATTTGACCAATCAAATCGGGACAGTGATTTGAATCTCTGAATCAAATCACTGTCCTGCAAATGTGCAGAATCGGAAGCGAATACTTGCCGCTTCGCACAGGCCTATCCAAGTACTTCGGCTCAGCCTACAGCACCTGTAGTATCTTGCAGTTGGGGTTTAGCAGAGCAGCCCCAGTGTTTTGCTTGCCTCCAACCCTCAGCCCCCTGCAATGGCCTGCAGTTTCTCTTGGAAAATACTATACTTGCCAATATTTTCAAGGAGAGATTTTTTTTCATTTTTTCTTTCAAAGAAGGATGTGCATCTTATTTGGGGGCACGTTTGTATGGAAGGAAAATATGATATATAATTGCTTAAATGCTTCTCTAGTATATTCCCCTCATTAATAAAGGCTGTATTTAGTTGTAAATCAACCTGTCATACAGCTTATTAACCAATGAAACATAATGTTTCTTTGGGAAATTAAGACAAAAGCATTAGCAAAAGGCCTAGCAAACACAGAACAAGATGAAAATTTATTATAGAGAAAGATCTTGTATTTGTCAGTTAAAACTGGTGACTTCAATCTGACATGCTATGCAGTGTTGTACAATTCTCAGTTGCTTTAGGCTTTTTATTTTTCTTGTAAATGTTTTTCATTTACTAGCAGGCTCTAGTGGTAAGACTTTAGGGTAGATTAACTTCAAGTTGTTTAACAGTAAAGTTCTTGGGCAGCTCTGTCACTTTAAGATGAGCCTTTTTAAAGCATATTTTTTTATTCCTCTTATTTTGCTTTTAGGTATATCCGTTTATATGGGAGAAAATTTAGTAAAGAAGATCATGTGCTTTTTATTAAGTTGTTGTACGAGTTGGTGACAATTCAAAAGCTGGAGATCAGCATGATGCAAGGATTTGCACGTCTGTTGATAAACCTTTTAAAGTAAGTACTATTCTCTACAATCCATTGAAACTCTTATCTTTAAATATTTTAAGTCCATAATTGAAATAGTTTAAACTTGTTCTACAACTTTATGGTGTAGCTTGTCTTCATGCAAATGATTTTTCTCTTCCTTTTTGTTGCTCAAGGGATCTTTGGTAAAAGAGAGTAGATTCTTAAAACTGTGATGCCTTTTAACTCCTTTTTGAGTTTGATAGCAACAGGTAGGTGACTTGTTGCTGGGGGTACTGATACTTTTCTGTTTTCCCACATTTCCTAAGCAGGAGTTCAATAAAACTTCAGTAGTTTGCACGTAAGCAGTCTAGAGCAGGAGTTCTCAACCTTCTTTGATCAGTGTACCCCACCCCCCTAATCCAGCCACTGGGACTCTTGAAAGCATGGATGTAATTCCTGCCCCTCTCTTACTGTGAGGCATGCTGGGCTGACTACTCAGTCCCACTCTCCTGGTATCAGAGCCACAGCATTTTCCATGTCTGTGAACCAGTTCCCAACTGGGACTTTTTTGGAAATATTCATTTGTGTGTCTGCATCCTCAAAGGCAGATGTGTCATAAATATAATTTATTAATGGGCATGTCTACACAAGACATTTTACTGTGCAGTAGACCAGGGATTGTCAACCAGTGGCCAGACATGGGGTGGGGGAGCTTACATGCGGCAGCCACCACCCCATAATGCCGCTGCTTCACATCCAGCTGCGTGCCAGCCCCCTCCCTCCCCCCTGCTCTGAAACGGGCCACCAGGGGTAAGCTTATTAAAAAAGGTTGAAAACCCCTGCAGTAGACTAATTATTGCGCAATAAATGTCTAGGGATCTACACGTATTCTCCTATTACTCTGGAGTAAACTAACTTTCTCTGTAGCAGGATAGTACTTGTATTTAACAAGTACTACCTTGCTGTGGAGTGAAAAAACCTGTAAATGCTGCCACATCTGGCTGGGGCATGAGGTTGCTTCAATGCAGGAGCTGCCTGCTGCCTAGTCCCTCACTGAAACACCTTTGTGCCCCAGCCAGTCCCTCCACAGCACACTGAGCTCGGGGAAGCAGCCCCAGGCTGGCAGGCGGTTCATACCACGGTCTCAAATACACCTTCTAACAGCAGTAAACTCCAGAGTGTATTGCTACTAGATGCGCGTTGAAACAACACACTCAGGAGCATTAAACTCTGGGGCAAGAAGCCTGGAGGTTATTGCTTCGCATTAATTGCACGTGTAGCCATGCCCAGTGAGTTGTGGTACTTGGCTAAAGCTCTGTAACATGTCTTACATCTATAAGGAATGCATTTAAATGAATGGTTTGTATATAAGAAATTGGCCCTGAAGTGGAATTAGAAGGAAATAGCTAAAAATAGATGTCAAAGTCATCATTCTGTTTTTCAGTTTCTAGGTATTCTGATATGATGCATGCTGGCATGGATAAAGTTTAATCCTAAAGTGCACTTTATTGTCTTAAATTAGGAAAAAAGAACTTCTCTCAAGAGATGATTTGGAATTACCGTGGAGACCACTTTATGAAATGTTGGAGAGGATACTGTATTCCAAAACTGAACACCTGGGATTAAATTGGTTTCCTAAGTAAGGTTCACTTTATTTTGAAGCATTTATTTTGGTTTTGCAGTCTTTAGAATTTTGACAAGTGAGGTTTCCAATGTTGTTTTTTATGTTTTAGAAGTAGATCTATAGTAAACGAGCAAATATTTTGATGTTTGGAAGTTAAGTTAAAAATGTTGGATCATCATATACATTCCTCTGTCAGTTAATAGTTTTTCTCAGTGTCTATTTTTCATATACTTTTTCAGGTTTTCCTAAGTACATCACAGGATGTCTTCCACCATTTCTATTAGGAAACTAAACTGTTAGATTTGACGCTATAGTCAAAATAATAATATCCTCTTAATTCCACAGTGAGATTTAGCAAAACAAATAATGAGTTCTTTGGTACACGTACCCAATACACATGAAAATGTAATCACTTTATATAATAGTGGGTATAGTGTATTTTCTTCCATATAACCTACACCATTTCTTCGCATATAATTTACACTCCAATTTTCCCCAGCTGGCTTTTGGGGAAAAGTCATCCCCATGTGTCCACCCTTTCCCTGCTGCCAAATTTCCAGATCCTCGGGGAGTCATCCTACACCTCCCCAGCTGTGTAGTGAATTGGGCCAGGGTGTGGGGTTGATCTGTAGCTGGACCTGGTGCACTGGGTCCAACCCTAGGCATTGGCTCCAGAGCCACATGGTGACTTGAACCCAGCATGCTGATACTGAGGGTTTGTGCTGAGTCAGATCTGCCACGTGACTTTAGAGCCAGTGCATGGGGTCAGACCCAGCATGCAATCCTAGACTGTGGGAGGCATCTGACTTCAGCATGTAGGTCTTGAGCCAGCCAGGTGGTTCTGGATTTGGTGTTCTGGGTCTGACCTGACGTGCGGCTGTCGGCCTGTGTTGGACCCAGACCTGGCATACTGACCCTGTCCAGTGTGTGGGGCTGGGAGCAGGCTTGGCTCCCTAGCTGCTGCCACTCAGCTATCTCAAGGATCTTTCTGTCTTCAGGCTTCCTTTCTAAATCATAGTGTGTAATATATATAGAGAGTATGCTGTATGGAAGAAAATATGGTATGCACAAGAAAGTACTTTATGTGGAAACGATTATATATAAGAATTTAGACCTCCAGAATGCGAATATGTAGGTAAATCTAGTTTATTCAAAGTTTAATGAAATGTTTCTAAAGATACTTACTTTTAGAGGGGGCATGGTAGCAGCCTCTAACCTGCATATTGCCTTTGTATAAAGCCACTATAGAATGAGTGAAATCTGGATATAGGACTTTGTAGGGACATTGGTGTATGCAATACGATTTGGCTATTGCCAGTCAAATTACAGAGCAATCCTGATTCATAACCCAGCAATCCTGAATCTTTACTATAGAGTCTATTTACAATAAGAACCAAAAAGATTGTGAATTTATTAGTGCACTACTAAAGGATTATACCAGGTAATAAAAAAAAAGCCTTGTCGCATTTTTGTTCACAGTATTTTGGTTATCTCTTTAACTTGCTGGTTTTTGTCAGGTAAAAATTCATAGCTTCCTTTGTTTAATTTTCTTAATTGCCTATTCATCTCTGCTCAGTCTGTTGGATTCCCCTTATTGTCTTGTCTGGTACCACTCCTGACTAGAGCTGGCTGAACTTTTCAGGGAGATGGGGCTGCTGTTGAGAGAACCTTGTGTTTTTCTGAGAGATGCTATAAAATCAAGCTGTGAAAAGTCACAGTTACTATGTTTACCTTCTCCCATTCTACTTTTCAAAACTTCTCCAGCTCTGGAAAATTAAAGGAAAAAGTGAAGAAATTGAGAGGTTCATTTACTGTATCTAGTGACAAAATAGAAAAAGTGGAAGTGAAGGGGAAGAGCAATAAACTCAAATTTTTCAATTTTATTTAAAACCTTCTTGCTTTCAAGAATCAAAACAATGAGTACTTCTGTTTGAATTGAACCTTTGTCCTGAGAATTTGAGTGGCAATATTTTATATAACATTTTCACAAGAAAAAACAGGTTTTCTGACCAGCTACACTTAAAAATGACGCACACTTATTTTATTTCTTTAGTCAAATCCTGCATTCCTGTTAAGTGTCTTGACCAGAAGACAACCAAGTTAGGGCTGTGATTGTTAGGAAAATCTTTGCTGCTGAGCTCTTTTTTATAATTATGATACAATTCTATTAAAGAATGCAGTCAAATTAAAAAATCACACTTACACTTACATAATTTTCTGAGAGGAAAATGTTATTAGTAACTCAGAGATCAGAAGAAAACACTTTTTTGCTTGGTTGGTTGGTTTATCTTACTCATTTGTCACATTCTGTTGAAACTGCTGTCATGTGTTTTGCCCTGTAGGATCTTTTTATTTGGTTTAACATTTGTCATGAAAGAAATAACAGGGGGCACAAATTGGTGTGGTGGGCAGGGGGAATGAATTATAAGATCCAAATGGAGATGGTATAGCTGAAAACATTCTTTTGGATTGATTATATTTGAAGCTTTCAGGATCTTATTATGCAGTGCGATGTGTTCTCATATGGTGTTCTTTTTGCAACATTGATGTTCAAATTGAATGAGTTCCTTTTGCTGAATGTGAAAGGATAATTATTTAAATATTGCCAGGTTAATCTTACGCTGTAGTTGTTGATGTAAATGTTGTATTCCATTTCACATTTAAATCTTTCTTTTCTTGCATTCAGTTCATATCGACCAGGCTTGTCTTCACCTAAAACATTTGTGCTTAATGTTTTACATAGGTGGTAAGGACACTTTCTGTTCAGCTCTGGCCGATGTGTTATCTTCTGCATGTTTTGTTAGACTGTAACACTTGTCACGCAGGTGTAATTTTTTTGCATAAATTAATTGTTTTGGAAAACCAATGTTAACATTACACCACTGTTTATGAGAATGTCGCACTGTATTTAAACCTTTCTAATTGTGGAACAACATACCGTGTGTGAAGTGGCTGATACAATGGCTATGTGCTAATTACTTTAACCAACAAACGTATTTCAAATAGTGAAATGCTAGGATAAAATCTATGTTTTCAGTAAATGGTAATTTGAATTATGGACAAAATGCATATTTATATAGCGTTAGAAATGCATGTCACTTACAGGGTTTCTTGTTCTTCTATTTGCTCTCAATGTTTTGTAGTAAAGTAAATAACAAATTCTAGTACCAAGCTTAGTATGAAATGAGTTTTACCAATAACTGGAGGGTTTTGACTACAGTGGATTTTTGCCAAGTGGAAATTCTTTTTTTAAAGCTGGTTTATTATGAACATGCAGAAATATAAGTAGAAAATTAGGATGATATTCAGAACAATATTTTAGTACACAAACATTCTAAGAAAGTATATGTTTAGTTGTAACACCCATGTACAGTATTGGATTGTAAAAGTTAATTTTGGCACACTTTGGGTGGAATAATGCAGTTTGAAGCTGTGGCTGGTTGCTCATTATTTCTGTACAAGCTTTTAGAGCAAAACGTTTTATGGGATGGCTAGAATGTCATTTACTGCAGCATGATTTTTTTCATGGGTGGATATTGTGACGTTTGTGCGTTCCACTGTGTTTTGATCTTTAGTGTTGTGTGTCAATATTTTAGTTCTTATTGATTTATATATTTTAAGATATTGTACACACTGTATTCAGAGTGTTATTGAAGGTGTTCCAGGTTAGCTAGGACATGCCCTTTTACATATGAAGAAAATAAACCTCATAATACCTAACTCTGTTCTTGGGCAAGTTTTTGTAACTTTTGTTTTTTTTAAATGTAGCTGTATGACAAGACTGCTAATAACCTAGTATGTCTGTCTGTAGTTAACCTGGAGGGCCAGGTAACTTTAAGTCAAAGAATGTTCATTGAGATTTAGAAAATTAGAGATTTATAAAGGTAACAGGCAGTATAAGATAGGAATCTAAACTAGTGCAAAAATGAGCAAAAGCCATTGCTTAAGAGGGTTAAGACAGTTCATTCAAATCAGTAGCAAAGACAGTAGCTAACACCCCCTGAGACTGTGAGTTTTACTTTGCAGCTGTACTACCCTGTCTTGCTTCTGACAGGTAGATAGTTAAACTAGAATCTCAAAATCTGTGTTCATTGACTTATAGTTAAACTGGATAATGGGCTTTCACCTATCCTTTATATTTTGACAAAATCATATTTGCTGTCTTTTAGTCAATTATTTGTAGTTTGCATTGTGAATCTGAAGATCTGCTTTAAATTGTATTGAAAACTAGTGGAGTGGAAAGACCAGTCTCATCTCTTGTATCAGAAACTCAGTTTTAACCTCCTTCCCTCCCTCCCAGTTCTCCAAATTCTTCTTTGCATTGCATGTTTGAGTGGAATATGGTAACTTTTTTATTCCACACAACTTGAAAGACCATTCATGTCGAACTTCAACAGCTTTTAGTATTACAGTCTGCCAGACTGCTGCTGATCCAGCTCTTTCTTGTCTCTCTCATGCAGTGAAATGTACTAGGTTTTCCAATAATTTAATTATTCGGGAATATTTTTTTAGCGTTACTCTGTTTTTCTTTTTCTTCCCCTCCCCTCCAAATCTTTTGTGGCTATATATTACTAGTATTTGAGAATTGCATATAACTTAATTATTTGCAACTTTAATTTATTTTGTTAGTGCTGGGTAAGGGCTGCAAAAAATGTCTTTTATAAAGTACTTCTTAAATTGAAGTAGTGTTGTGGGGAAGGATAAGAGAATGCTGGTTTGCAGTGAATTCTGTGGTGAAGTTGAAGGGTTGATAGATAGTTCATAAGCTGATCTGCCTGATCTATTCACAGTCTTTTTTTTTTAAGTGGAATCTGTTCCCTTTGTTGGATGGCTGAAAAGTAAGGCATGTGGCCAGGATAGAAAATAATTTTAATTGGATTTCAACGTTTGATTGGAGAGCAGTCAGCCTTTCTTCATTATATCCTGATGAGGGCTTCAGTTTTGTGTTGTCTTTTTTCTTTGTTTTTTTTTTTTGGCTGTGGTGAGAGATGTAGAGTGTTTCTTTTTAAGCAGTGTGTAAGCTACAGCTAAAATAACAATGATGATCTGACTTCCATGTAATCTTTTTCTTCAGGGAATCTGGTAAAATGTGAGCTACCATTTTGTATTTATTATAAAGTATTGCTCATTATAAGGCTGTTTAAAATGTGAAATTGCCCTTTACAGTGCCATGGGTATTTAAGATGTCTTTTTCTTCATCTTTTTGAACAAACTTACTATGTGTATGAGATCTGGTTTGAAGGTATTTGGTGTTGCCACGTGTGAAGTTTCACTTTGGAATTATAGTAGAACAGTTGTTAACCTCAAAGGTAACAAGTTTTGCTACCTGTCATTAGGAGAACTTGTTCAGTAAGTTTTTGTGTTAGGAAGCTGGTAAAACAACTAGTCGGTTATAGGGAATTCATTTTATTTAGTTAGGAATATATACACATGCATGCAAACATCTTTCCCCTTCTTCCCAGGGTTTTAGAATTAGGAGTCTAAGATAAAATTTACTGAAATAAGTTGACTTGGTTTGTCTTGAAATTTTCTCTTCTATAATAAATACCACTTTTTTTCCTATTACTGTTTCAAGTTTCTATAAAAAAGCTATTATGTTTCTGCTTGTTAATATACAATAGAGTGCAAGATGTAACTGTTTAATAATGATATTAATTTTTCACTTTTTGTTGAGATATAGTGAATATTGGAGTGGAACAAGGCATAGAATTAGGGGTTTAGTAAAGCAGCTTTAATCCTTGTGATTAGATCCATGCAGAAGAAAAGGATTAGCTACTGCATGTTCACAGATGGTGTCTAATTGCATCTATATCATCTTGGACTTAAAACAATCATATGATGACTGTCTTAATTATATGCTGTACTTGAAATATACTCATGTAATTCTCCAATAACCTCTTTCTTTTTCGTTTCAGTTCTGTAGAAAGTGTCCTAAAAACACTTGTTAAAAGCTGTCGGCCGTAAGTATTTGAACTGCTTTCCAACTTTTATGAAATGCATACTTTAAATATTCTTTCCCCATAACACATTCATCTCTTTGGGATTGTGCTTTCTGAACTAAAAAGTATAAGGTTTCACATTTCTTTTCTCCTTCCTTTGCCAGCATAACCCTTAGCATTTGGAGATGGTTTTGAAAAGGAAACTATTTTTAGTAGTTTATATTTGATAAAAGCCTTTGTTCTAATGCAGTAGTGCTCAGTAGGGGTGTGCAAAATGGGCTGTATTCAATTTGGATTTGGTTTCGGCCTGAATCGGGGACAGTGATGTGATTCATTGATTTGGATCACTGTCCCCGATTTCATTCAGCTGAATCCAAATCTGAAGATTCGATGCTGATTTGGAGAATCAGCGATTCAGCCATTTACACAGTTAAGTGTTTTTTCTACATACCTTGAGGTACCAGGTGTGGCTTATGAACGCTGCAATGCTGGGGCGGATGGAGTGTCCCACAAGACGACTTCTGGTCTACTTCTGGGTCCGCTGCTGAGCGTGCAGGGGCCCCCCTGCGGCTTGGTGATTGGCTGCAGGGGGACCCCGGGTGCCTTCCAGACCCAGGAGGTACCGGTCACCAAGCTTGGGAGGCATGGGTGGGCCCCCCAGTGCAGTCCCGGGCAGACTCGGAAGTGAAACGGAAGTACATCTGATCCACTTCTGAGTCTGCTGCCTAGTGCGCTGAGGAGCCCCCCCACGCTCATATGGGATGCTCCATCTGCCCCAATATCGCAGCATTCACGGTACTTTGAGGTATGTAGAAAAAACACTTAAAGCTGTGTCTCCCTGAATTGCTGAATCTTTCCGAATCTCTCCGAATCAGTTTGGAGGGTTCAGATTTTGATTCGGAGACATTAAAGGGTCTTCTGTTTCGATTCGGAGATTTGGCCACCAAACCAGGCCGAATCTCCGCTGAATTGAATCGGGGACCGAAGCTTTGCACAACCCTAGTGCTCAACCTTTTCCTGGCAGGCCGGATGGGCAGTCCCTGGTCTGACTGTGGGCCAGATGGAGGTTCCGATCCAGTATCCAAGGCCAGCGTGGTGGCTACCATCCAGCCACATGGGCAGCAGCCTGGCCTGAGCCCAACCCCCAAGGGAGAAAGGGGGTTTCACCTGGCCCCATGGGGAGGGAAATGCTATCTAGCT